TGGCAGGGGGCATGACGAACACAGGGCTTGAGTGGTGGACCCAACAGAAGGCTCTGGAGGGAGGGAGGAGTCAAAACTGCACAAGGCCTGTGGCTATGAGACAATCTGGTATTTCTCCTCAGTGGAAGCTTCTGCTGTTAGTTTATCTTTTGGTTATCACAACCCAGGCCGGGGGTGGGGGGTGGGGGTGGGGGGTGTTATTGGCATCTACTGGATGAGGCCAGAGACAATGCTCAGTATTCTAAATGCCCAGGGTAATTCTCCACAGAAAAGAATTACTTGACTCAAAATGATAATAAGGCGGAATTGAGAAACTGCCCTAGCAGACTCCACTTTGCTTGCTCTGTTCTGTAAGGAAGAAGTGCTACATGGGTGGTCCCATGCCAGAGGCCAACTGCTGTAGCCTTGGCCCTTTTCTCCCCCAAAGGCCCCTCAGGATGGTAGCAGGGGATCTGGGGAGCCCTTCTTTGGTAGCCCTTAGTCTTGGGTGTTTTTATAAATGGGGGTCTCACCATGTTGCTCAGGTTGGCCTTGAGCTCCGTCCTCCTGTTTTGTTTCCAGTGCCTGGGCTGCAAGCATGCACTACCAGGTCCAGCTCAGAAAACATTCCTTTTAAACTTTTTTAAAAAAAAATATTTTATTTACTATTTTAATTTTATGTGTATGAGTGAATTGCCTGCATGTATGTGAGTGCACCCGTGTTGTGCAATGCCGCAGAGGTCAGAGAGGGCTTTGGATTTCCCTGGAACTGGAGTTAAGGATGGTTTGTAGCCACCATGTGGGTGCTGAGAATCAAACCTGGGTCCTCTGCAAGAGCAGTCAGCACTCTTAACTGCTGAGCCACCATCTCTCCGGCCCCTTAAACTTGTTTTCCCACACTTATTTATTTTTCTGGGGGTAGAGAGCAGGGTGTGATGGTCAGAGGACAACTTGTGGGAGCTGTGGGACATTCTCCCACCCTGTTGAGTCCTGGGATGGAACTCAAGTGGCTGAGCTTGGTGGCAAGCACCATTACTCACTGAGCTACATTCACTCACCCCAAAACCTCACTTTTAAAGTCTGTCAACAAAATGGCAAACATACACATTATCTACAAAACCAGGGATATTAGTCCACTTCCCGTGCTGTGCCTCTCCTAATACAGGTTAATAGTGTCACACACAAGGCTTTGATAATCTAGGATTGCTTAATTGCACTCAAACTTCAGACTTTGGAATATGTCAGAATGAAGCTGAGCCTTTTCTCACATAAAAAGTTACTGGTGATCTAGACAATAAACAGAGAACATGAATCTATTGCTCAAGTAATTTATTTGGTTAGATTTTAAAACTGGTGCACTGGGGCTGGAGAGATGGCTCATCAGTTAAGAACACTGGTTGTTCTTGTAGAAGACCCAGGTTCGAATTCCAGCACCCACATGGCAGCTAACAACTGTAACTCCAGTTCCAGGGAATCCGAGAGCCTCTTCTGTCCTCCGCGGACATTGCACGACATGGGTGCACCTACCTACATGGAGGCAATGCACTCATACACATAAAATAAAAATAGTAAATAAAATATATATTTTTTAAAAAGTGCTGGGATTTTAGATGTGTACCTATGTTATGTGGGTTGTAGATTAAACACACAGTTTCATGCATGCTGGGCAAGCACTCTACCAATTCGACTTCATCCCCAGCCTCCTGCCTCAAAACTTTCAAAAAGGTCTGAAACACAGGATGTCACCCTTTCTGATGGTGAAGGTGACCCCAGTGTGCTCATGAATTCTGTTTCTGTTGCTTCTTTAAGTAAATCCTTTAGTCTGAAGTGTACTTCCCTCCTGGGATCATGGTGGTCTGTGTATGTACATGGTAATAGCTTCTTAAGGTGGCCCAGTTTCTACTCTGAACCCGGGGTTCCTTCTCCTTGCTTTTGAATTAATTCAGTTCCTCTGAGATTTAGTGGCCAGTCTACCCATGTGAGGACTTCCTCATCTCTACCTGGAGGACCCTCAGCCTGGCCCTGCCCCTCCTCCACTCTTTCCAAGCCATCCCATCAACCCAAACTTCTCATGTAGTAGCCATACAACCAATAACTCAATGAATTTCCCCCATTTAGAGGTCACATAATCAATACATTCCAACTGAATTCAATGCTTCTTCTGCAGACGTGGCTCTGTCTTAGAGAAGGGCTGAGATCTTGCCCCACCTTCTTCCCCATGTTCCACAGTGACTTCTTCTGGCTTCATGACCACCTCTCCATCTCCAGCAGCTGTGTCCTAGGCCAAGCCCCTATCATCCTCTGCATGGACCACCAGTGAAAATCTTTAACTGGTCTCTCTACAATCCCTCTTATTTCCCTTCTGTCTCCACAAGGTTTTCAAATTCTATTTAAAAATACAAATCTGCTAGTCACACTCTGGCTCCCCACTGCCCTGTGGCTGAATCTTCACTATGGCCTACTAAACCCCGTTTGTCCATTTGCCTCAGGCCTCTGCCTACCTCACAGCCCCTGTCTCTAACCCAGTCTCCACATCTCAACCACTGTGGACTTGTTTCTGTTTCCAAGCCTCTGGGCTAGGCGTTATTACATGGCTGTTCTTCTGCCCAGAATGCCCCTCCCACTCTCTGTCCCTTCTGTCAGCAAGTCTCTATTCTTCTTTCAACTCTCAGCTCCTGCTGTGCTTCTCAGGGAAGCCTGTCTGATCCTTTGTCAGTTCTCCCACAGCACTCTGTCCAGTTATCGTTTCCCATGGCCAAGGAAAACAGTCACTTCCTCAAATCAGCTACATACATCTGCCTTGCCAGAAGACAAATTCTAGGAGAGCAGAGAGCTTTAGCAGGAGTCCAAAGAGAATAGAAGAGTGAGGCTCTCTGGGTCTGAATTCTGCCTGCCTCTTACCAGCAGCAGAACCTTGGGCACTTTACTTAGCCCCAGTGTTTCCCTTTCACTACTTATAAAATACGAATAATAGTTCCTACTTCAGAGGGTTACAAGGACATGATTATTTGGTTTAAAATAAAGCTGTGCAGTACTTAAAACAGTGTGAGGCACATGTTATGTACTATATATTTGCTAAATCAACAAAAATAATCAACTGATACCTGTTGCTAAAGTACTGCAAAGTACTAGATCTCCAAAGACAAGCATCATTCCCTGACAGGTGGGTGTCTAAGGGTCAGCCAGAACTGGCAATCTATGCTCATAGCCTACTGAATCTCTTTAACTATGGAATTTTTCTGTTTTCAGTTGCTGGGTAATGCCCTCCTCCCCACCAAATCTAATGAGATATGCGCAAATTTAAATTTTTATTAGCTAAGGCAGGAGGATTGCCACAAGTTTGAGGACAGCCTGGCCTACATAGAAAGAACCAGGTCAAGTAGAGAAAGCAACACCATGTTTCTGAAAAAAAATAAAAAACAAGGGCTAGCAAGATGGCTCAGTTGTGTACAGCTCCCGCCGTGCAAGCCTGAGACCTGAATCAGACCCCGGAACCTACATGGGAGGGAACTGATTTCCAAGGCTGCCCCCTGACCTTCTGACCTCCACATGCATGTTATGGCAAACGCATCTCTCCTCTTATCATACACACTCAAAATTAACAAATAAAAATTTAAAAAACAACAAACAACAAAAATAATTTTGAGTAGTGACTTGGTAATAATCCGCCGATGTAAATATGTGAGTTGACACAGCGTTTGTGCCCCAAATAAAGCAGCTTTGTCCCCAAGACTGGACAGTGTTCTAGCTCATCCTCAACTGCTCTGAGGATGCTGGGCCCTCTGTACTGATCACCTGATATCCTCTGGGCCCGCTAAGAGGATGCTGGGCCCTCTGTACTGATCACCTGATATCCTCTGGGCCCGCTAAGAGGATGCTGGGCCCTCTGTACTGATCACCTGATATCCTCTGGGCCCGCTAAGAGGATGCTGGGCCCTCTGTACTGATCACCTGATATCCTCTGGGCCCGCTAAGAGGATGCTGGGCCCTCTGTACTGATCACCTGATATCCTCTGGGCCCGCTAAGAGGATGCTGGGCCCTCTGTACTGATCACCTGATATCCTCTGGGCCCGCTAAGAGGATGCTGGGCCCTCTGTACTGATCACCTGATATCCTCTGGGCCCGCTAAGAGGATGCTGGGCCCTCTGTACTGATCACCACGGAGTCTATGAATATCCTGTCGGTGCCACTTCAGCCAAGGATCTGCTCAAGGCCTGTCCTCAACCTCAGCTGTCTGTGAAAGACCATGAAGCTCCGAGTACAGGATTCACAGAAGCTACTCACTGTATCCACCAACAATAACAAAACCTCACAACCTCTAACATTTTACATATAATTTCATGAGTTGTTTTTGTTTTCTTGAGGCAGGGTCTCACTGGATACCCCAAGTTGGCCTTGGCTCACCATCTTCTGGTTTCTGCTCCCTGAGTGTTGCGATTATAGGAGTGCACCACCATGCCCTACCTGCTGGTCATACAAGTAAGCACCATAACCATGGCCACTTACCTAAGGGCCCTCAGCCTTGTCGACACCAGTTCAGCTTCTCACACCACTACTGGCTAGTGAGATCTCCTTTCACCTTGTACAGAGAGAATGCTGGTCTTCTTGATAATACAGAGGTGGCCACTATGGTGTTGCCTAAAGATCGACAACAGAGTGCATTCCACATGTGCATGCCATTAGCTCCTCCCTTGCTCAGGGTCAGGAGAATCCTATGTTCACCCAGGGAAAGCAAGCCAGGCTTGTGCAGAACTCAATCACCACATGATACCTGGCTGTTAGACCACAGATATGCATGGCTTGGCCAGCTCAGCTTTCTCTACTCAGCAAGACTTGGGGGATGATGTGGGTACTTGTTGGCTCACCTTACTTGATATGGAGTCTATACTAGACACAGCTTCTTCTTCAGAAGTCTATGGCCCTAGGCTAAGAGAACACCATGAAATGAAGTCAAGGCCAGGCATGTACTCCTGGATCAGTGCTAGGGGGGCCCTGCACATGCAGGAAACAAACACCTTACCTGTCTGAGAGCTGTCCTGAAATGAAGGAGCCCAACAGCACACCCAGGAAAAAAAAGGAGATGGCGAGCGGGTTCTTCCAGTCATTCTCGCACACCAGGTCCCACTGCAAGAGGAACAGAGGGGTGCATCACTCGCTCCTTTTCTGAAATGTAAAGCTTCCTGGAAAACGAATGGGTACACCCTGCATCCCTGAGTGCTCTACAGATAGGAGCTGACTAATATCGTCAGTGGCTCACTTGGGCAGCAATGCAGAGAGACCTCTCCCTCCTCATCTTGTCTTTCACAGCTTGGGACCCATGTCTTCCTTCTGTTTTGAGGAGGAGCATTCTACGCAGATACTGACCTTCGGGGAACGAGTCCTGTCATGCTTCTTTCTAAGAATATGGAATACGGCCAGAACCCGTGGCCATGGAAGGGACAAGGTACTGCTGCTCACTGCCCTCAGGCCATTGGAGCAAGGACTGTCCAACAGTGAAAACATCCAGCAAAAGACTGAGGGCAAAGGACCTGGGGTGCTCCATCCAGACCTGCTCCTTCAGCTCTTCTCTGCTCAGGTTCCCACCGGGGCCAAACACCCTTCAGTCCACATGATATCCAGAGCTGAAATCTCTGAAGCCACACACCAACAACATTAAGCCAGGGTATGGCTTAGAACTGTGAACTGGAGTTACTTCTACTCCAGTGCTGACTGGTTCTCCAACCTCACATATGGCCCTGCTATCAAACCACAGAGTGCCTTCATTTCTTATCCTAGACTGCGGTAGGGAACAGGTGTCTGCTTGAGTTCCCAGCACTTACACTGCGAGTCCACCTGCGGTTTCCACGAGTAGGAAAGGTGTGCAGAGAGGAATAAGGTACATGGGAAACAGCTACAACCCTGTCCAATATGGAGCCAGAAGGCAGAAGAAAGTCCAAACAGGAAATCTGGTAGTTCCCAGAAAAATGTTCCTTGGTCAGAGATGGCCCACAGGAGGAGCCTTAGCCGACCTCACATTCATAGCCACCCTCCTGGGAATTCAAACCTTCTTGTCAGTACCAGGCTGTCACCTGCCTTCTAAGAAGCCTGCTTATTCCCCAACAACCAACAGAGAGCAGGGAATGTGCAACTCTTGTAGACAAGAGCCTCCTTTCGAGGCTGGTGACAGGGAAAACAAATCTGCTTCCCAGCTCTGCTGGGCTGTGTCCAGCACCCCTCCGAGGGGATGGGGGGGCAGCTCTCTCTGTCCAGCACCCCTCCGAGGGGATGGGGGGGCAGCTCTCTGTGTCCAGCACCCCTCCGAGGGGATGGGGGGACAGCTCTCTCTGTTCAGCACCCCTCCGAGGGGATGGGGGGGCATCTCTCTCTGTGTCCAGCACCTCTCCGAGGGGTTGGGGGGCAGCTCTCTGTGTCCAGCACCTCTCCAAGGGGATGGGGGGGCAGCTCTCTGTGTCCAGCACCCCTCCGAGGGGATGGGGGGACAGCTCTCTCTGTTCAGCACCCCTCCGAGGGGATGGGGGGGCAGCTCTCTGTGTCCAGCACCTCTCCGAGGGGTTGGGGGGCAGCTCTCTGTGTCCAGCACCCCTCGAAGGGGATGGGGGGGCAGCTCTCTCTGTCCAGCACCCCTCCAAGGGGATGGGGGGGACAGCTCTCTGGCGGGACACAAAGAAGCCCTGCTGCCAACTCAGCCGTGCTGCTGGCTCCACTATGGAATAACATGTACATGGATGGGCTAAGTGGGGTGTCAATTCCCAACCCTAGGAAGAATTAGGGCTATCTGACCCCCAAGTTTAGAAGCCCAGACTAGCGTTGAGCCCACTGAGCCCCAAGACCTTCACTGCCTTGGTGCTGCCAGCATCCAAATTCCTGTCAGGTGGGCGAGTGCTCCTAAGGAGGTCATGGCCCACACATGGCTGCTACGACCAGGACTGGGGGGTGCTGGGGGACACACAGCTGAGGAAATCGATGCCTGCAGCCTCTGGGTTCACTGGAGGCTAAGCTTCCCAGCTATATTGTAACTATTCTGCTCTCAAGAGTGATGGGATGGATATCTTTTGCTGCAACAATGATAAAATGATGGCTAAGGGGCTGGCAGCTGTTATCAACATGTCCATCAGGACAGCTGAGCTGGACAAGAAACCCATGCAGAGGGCTGGGGATGTAACTGAGCTGGAACAGTGCTTCCCTAGCAGGCACAGAACCCTGGATTCAATCCCCAGCACTGCATAGACTGGGTGTGGTGGCGCCCACCTCCATTCTTCTCACTTGGGAGGGAGGTAGAGACATGAGGATCAGAATTTCAAGGTCAACCTGGGCTACATGAAACTGTGTCTCAAAAAAAGGAAAAGAAGACAGAAAGAAGGAAGGAAGGAAGGAAGGAGGGAAGGAAGGAAGGAAGAAAGAAAGAAAGAAAGAAAGAAAAGAAAGAAAGAATTGATACAGGTTACTGCAGTGAGTTCTAGAGTTGTAGATCCCAGTCAGGTCTCTGAAAAACACACTTCTAGGGAGAGTCATATATATAAGCACACTGGGTACCACATGAAATCAGGGCAACTCTATGCAGGCTTAGAGATCTCTCAGGCTTTCATTGCACCTGACTGGCTTAGCCTGTCCTTAGTCTCGGCAAGGGGCTAACTCATTGGAGTCATTATGCCTTAACTCACCACTGACAGTCCATGACAACTCTCAGGGCTTGGCTTACGTTAATACTTCATTCCTAGTGGCTACAGGAAGCAGGTGAGAAGGTCAGGAAGGGTAAGAGGTGTCAGAAACACAGGGTGAGTCCCACCCATTCACTCACCTGTTGACTACCAGACTGCAATAGGCATTTGGACTTGGCCTGAACTCTTCTCAGAAAGGGAGAAATGATAGGCCCCAGAGTCCAGGCTAAGTACCTCTGCTTGGTGTATTTACAGATGAACCCAGAGCTCCTATTCTGAGCTTTTGGCTGCTTAGCTATGACTAAAGCAGCCAGAGAGCAGCTCATCCAGGCCTCTACTTGGCAGGTGGATGGCCACACTGGCTGTGATACAAGCTTCATTCCCCTTAGCTGGAGGTTGTGAAGGCTGGCCCAAACTCGGAAAACATGGGAGCAGCTGTGACCAGGAGTCTACACTTCTTCCTAGCCAGAAATGTGCCTTTCTAGTAGTAAGGGTATCAAGGGGATTACTAACATAGGTCTCAAATCTTCTCAAATGGTACACTTAAATATATGCATTCTTTATCTCATTTATGCTTCGATAAAACAAGCTTTTTAAAAAGAGGGCCATTTACATATTTTTATTTTTATTTATATATATGTATGTCTATCTGGGTGTATGTCACCTGTGTGCAGGTGCCCTTAGAGGCCAGAAGAGGACATCAGATCCCCTGGAGCTAAGAGTTATAGGTGGTTGTGAGTATTGATATGGGTGCTGGGAACCAAACACAGTCCTCTGGAAGAGTAGCAAGTGCTCTTAACTGCCAAGCCCCTCTACAGCCTCTCCTTCTTTTTTTCTTTTTAAAGCGGGAGCTGGATCTGAAGTCAGGTCTTCATGCTTGTGCAGCAAGTGCTCTTATCCACTGAGCCATCTCTCCAGCCCAGATTACATCTCATGGCCTCATACATAATCAGTACTGCTTTTCAATGTATGGGAAGAAGGGTGGGGTGGACCACCCCTGGGACTAAATGTTCTTATCTATGAATGGCTGGAAGGGAAAAGCGATAGGATCTGTGCTTGAAAGGTGAAAGTCTTTCCTGACATGTACCTAGTGTGATGATCAAGCAGTATTACTTGCTCCTGAAGGCCAAGTAGTCCTTAACATTTTGTTCTGCTTCCTACCTCTGTAATACCAGCACTAAGGAGCCCGAGGCAGGAGGATTCCCTGAGGCCAGTCTAAGCAACATAGCAAGACCTGGTTTCAAAAAATAAAATTGAAAGAAATGAATAGTAGAGTCTTGCTCCAGGACTGTTAAGAAATAGCAGTAGGTGGCATTTGCTACCACACCCCTGTAATGCCTAGCAGTGTCCTGAGCAGAGGAATGGTTCAGGAACATGGGTGAGTAGGTAAACGGCTAAAAGGGCACCAGCTTTCAACATCATCATATCCTTCCGACTTAGGCCTTTGGGCCGAGTTGCCCAAAGTCCAGATGAACCCCGCACTTCTGTCTTAGAATAAATTCTCTTTCTCTATGACCCCTGGCTTTGTCCATGACCCCTGACCCAGGGTGATGGTTCTGAGCAAGAGAAGGGCTGAGTCAGACTGGTCCCAGCAGGTTGTATCTACTAAGGCTATGCATGTAGAGGGGCCCTCAGGAACCAGCAGGTGGCTACTTTGGTTTGCCATGCAGCTGCAAATGCATAGATGAAGGTCTGTGTTTTCTGAGGGGGGGTGAACACTGGCAGAACAGTGAGGCCCAGCTCTGCCTCCCATGGTGCTGGGGCTTTTCACCTAGGCAGGTTGCGGGTAACAGTGGGAACCTTCCCATTTCTCAAGATTATTTAGGCCTGAGACAAGATGGATGGAAAAGCTAGCCCAGAACAACAAAGTGAGTTGGAGCCTTGCCATGCCTAGGCAAGAGACTTTTGGAAAGCAGAGACGGGGGTGGGGGTGGGGCAGGACAATGCAGAGGCCTGTCAGGCTTCAGTTCAAGGAGCTTAATACACATGAACCAGAGGCATAAAGAAAACTTTCTGCCTATGGGCTGGGCTGAGTCACCTCGAAACCAAAGAACAGATGGCCTAGCAACCTGAGAAATCATCCAGGTGACCAGAAGAAGGGACAGTGTTGAACCCAGAAGCACAGCAAGGTGGACAGGATGATTCCCAGGCATCCTAGAGATGAAAGGAGCCACAGGAACGGCCAACCTACAGGAATGAGGCTCACCAAACTATTCCTGGCACACGGGCACACCAAGCTCTCTGACCTCACAAGAAGGCCCCCTTGTTTCTTGCCAGACTCAGTGCTGGTTCCAGATGCACTCGATGCCAAGCTGCAGTCAGGGGGCTGGGGAATCACATGTTCCTTAAGCTATTCTACAAGTTCTCCTCTGTTTATCAGACTTTCCATTTCGTTTAGTTCTTAAACCTTTTTAAATAGCAAGGCTCGTAAATTATTCATTCAATAAAAAAAAAATTCCTGAGTGGAA